GTCATGTTTTGTTTGTGTTTTGCTGGGGGGGGGGGGTGGTGTGCGTGTTACCTTATGGATATTTTAGTCCTATTAACTGAATTACCTTTCCTTTTATTTGACCTAACTGATTCTTGTAAATTCATAGGGACCATGGCATTATCTTTGGATACCCAAGATGTGTATCTGCTGATTTGTTTCAGTACAAACGAACAGCACACACCAACCTCCCCTGTAGTCCTGGTCACTAGAAGCATTGTTGGTATCGTGCAGCCATAAGGAGGCAGAGAGGGGAAGACTTGTACATGTGGTATTCTTCTTTCCATTCCAGATCAAATAATGTGAGCCAGAAACTCTCTTCTCTGTACCATTTCCCATATATTCTTTACTTAAAACTAGGAGTGGAGGAACGTGGGTGAAAGGGTAGCTCATCTTTCTGTTGCAAAATGTTACCTCTCCCCTTAAAAGCTTCTTTGTAAACAGAATTATGTTGGCTCTTGCAAAATTAATGTGGCATGGTACTAGTGTAACACTTATTAATTTGCACATATGGAATACATATAATCTAGCATTTTTTTTTTGCAGCTTCGCTCTTCCCTATCTTTCCTAATGTGTGCAAAATCTTGATCTTAGCCTTTAAAGAAGGCCAAAGTTCTTTCTCCTCTTTTGCTTTTCCAAAGTCTTTTAAATTTGTAGAAAAGACTAGATTGGATGTGAATTGCACTCTGCCACGACAGGATACTTGGATGACCTTACTATCCTTCAGAATAATGCTTTGCACAAAACTAAACACTGTGTAACCATTAAGTGTGAGACTTTATTCTCAGCTTTTGCCCTGATGTTTTAAGTTGAAAGCAGTAACTCACTGTCAATAAAAACAAAGATGTAACTTTCCTCAGAAATTGCTCTGTGTGGGGACCTAACTTACAGTTCCTGTCACCATGAAGTCACCGTGACTTTGCTCTTGCCGTGTCGCAGGGTGTATGGTCTGGTCACTTAGATCTGGATCCTGAGAGGGATTTAGGCCCTGATTTTTGGTGGTTTGAGCATAGGTATGAGTACCACATAACAGATAGCAACATTTCTCAGCCTCTTGTGTGGCTCATTACCCTGTCTGTAAAATGTGTGTATATTAGTGTTTCCCTACCTCACAGGGGTGTTGTGAGGATAAATGTGTAAAAAATTGCCATTCTATATTTGAGATAACTGAGTTAAGCAGGAGACTACGTGCATGGAGCCAATCAATGGAAAAATTGCTGAAGGTGCATAGGGAAGCTGGAAGTTGAAGGATGATGCTGGGGGCTTCTCTCTGTGTAGTAATGAGGAGATTCTTGCTTTGTTCTCTTCTATTGTGCAGAGCGAAAGAGAAGTTTAGTTTTCAGCCCCCTCTCCTGAGAAACTCGTAAAGTTCTTATTTTATTTTTTTTTTCCTACTGGGAATATTGTCGACTCTGTTAAATGGGGGGTTACTTCCGTATTCCCACTTCCAAAACATCTGTGAGTTCTGGTCCCAAGTTAGGTTAGTTCAACCTGATACCTCTTCTTTGTCTCATTGCCATACTTAATCACCACTGAGTGCACTCGGTTCCTCAGCTAAGAACAGGCTTCTTTCTGGCACTCTGATTAAAAGGAGAAAAAGTAGGTTAAGGAGAGAATGTTTATTCAAGCGCTCAATATTTACCTGCTTTCTGTGAACCAGGTGGGGGGAAAGGAGATTCCTCAGATGTTGAATGCTCAGTGTATGCCAATTATCTCTCCTTTTTCCTTCTCTCATTGCCTTAGTGGATGCTGTTAAACTGTTTGAATTATGACTTGATGAAAAAACAGATTTCAGACACTGTCTTGGACTACCCATGCAGGAACTTCTGTCTGTTCATAAACTATCCCTCCTTGTCCATATTTTTTGAAAGAAGTGGGATAGCTAACAAAGTCGACGTTTAAGTTTTCGTCATTGAATTTTGTAGCTGAACTGTTCACTGAGATGAGTGAGGCTACTGGAAAATCTTAGAGCCATTTTGCAGGCACACTTCAGAGAATTGGTCATCAGTTTGAAAGTTGTGTTTGCAGCATTGCCTACCAGAGACTCCAGATCTTTTAAAGTCTTCTGTAGCTGCCAAAGCAAAATGGAAGTATCGATCATCCTAAGGCAATTTGTAATTCTGGGTTTTGTCGTAATGGGGTGTTGTTATACTTGTAGTTGAAGGAGTATATTAAAAAAATGGGGAGTATTTATGGAGGTGACTGTGGTAAAAGCTCTAGTGTGCTAATTAGAGCTAGAATCATTTGGGCTGTTGTTCTTGAAGTGTATCAAAAAGCACTTTCCTATCCAGAGACAAATTCCTCAATAGCATATATTAAGAGTTCACAAATTTAAAAAAAATAAGAAGTAAAATAGTAAAAAAAGAAAAAGGAAAAAAAGCTTTTCTCTTAGAGATATTCAATTTATGTTTGGACAGTGATGGTTTGTGAAACACTTTAAAAATTCTTTCCCATGATGTCTTTTTCTTAGGGTATGTACATTAAATCAACATATGATGGTCTCCATGTAATTACTGGAACAACAGAAAATGTAAGTATTGTTAATACTGTATGTTCAGGCCTGGAAGCCTTTTTGACCTTACCTGTGGTCTATGCTTTCCCTTTGCTACAGGCTATATTTTGCTTGCAAAAGTGTGCTAGTTGGCTGATGAGGACCAATAGCATGTTGGACAGCAGAAACGCTTGTGCTTGTTTACCTCAGAATTGAGAGAGTTGTTCCCAGTTGAGGACCAGGAGAATCAGTTTTGATTTGTTCTTGCAAGACACCTAAAATTCTGCAGTTGGTCAAGATAGGAAGTAGCTGCCTTGGAGTTATCCTGCTCTGTCAATATAAGATAAACGTCTTTATTATGTATAGGCTGATATGCTGGAATTTACTGCAGTATTAGACAAACAGCTTTTATGTTTTCCATCTGTCAAGCTTTATTTTGTAATAAATAAATGCATGGAAATGAGGATATCCCTTCACATTGACAAATAACCATGTATTTCTTCATGAACTTCCAAGTAATGCCTATAGAAAAGAACACTTATTATCAGTGTACTAATTCTCACTGAAGGTATTAAACAGCAAGCAAAACAATAGACTACGTTTCAAATCCCTTTTGAAATACAATCTCCTTTTCTTGTACACTGTAGTTAGAGAACTGGCTGGCTGTGAGGAGGTGGGCAAAATGATCATTTTGGGGGGGAAACACTTCTATGCATAATCTTCAATGAACATGGAATAAGCACTAAACAACCCTGAACTGTTCCATAATGGTTTAGGCAATTTCTTTCAAAGATTTTGGTGGCATTTTCTTAAAATGAAGCTGTCAGAAATGTTTATTTTGTCCTGCTACTGTGTCATACTGTGGAAAGTACAGACTACCTACGTGGTATTTACAGCTGCTGCATCTGATCTGCAGTGAGGCTCTGTTAACATCTCAATAAAATAGGAATATTGTTTTCATCCCTTCGTAGGAGCTGCGATCTGATAGCCTTTCTTCTTTCTGTTTTCTTCTGCTGTGGGCAGGATGTCCATGGGTTATACATGATAGACAGTATCTGTTGTAGAACTTAAGTGAATGCCACCTGTCTCAGAATAAGGAAAACATAAGGAATTTCAACCTTGAAATCAAAATTCTAGAAAGTCAGACCTACAGCTACAAATATCATCAGTGAAATTAGCAAAACTAAACAAAAACAACAGAACCATAAATGAGCTTAATCTAGAAAACATACAAAAGAAAGAGGATGGTTTTTACAGTTGAATTTCTCTCAGATTAAAAAAGGAACCATTTCTCTCCATGACTTACTAATATTGGATTTAATTTCCCAGGGGCAAAGATAAAAATAAAATCTTAATATGTTCCCTCAAAATTCTTTTATCTTTTGTGATTCATGAGTATAATTTAAAGCCGTGTCAGGAAGCTTCCGTCCTGATGACTTTTCTGCTGTGGTTACTGGCTCTTCCACTCACTGTAACACCGTGGGGGTGCAGTGAGAAACTGCAGTCTGCTGTCTAGGGAAGAAGCCATTGTGTGTTAAAGCATTTGTGAAAATGAGTAATGCTTTAGATAAAGTAAGGTGTCTCCTTCTATTAAGCACACAGTTGCTAGGTGCTTCCTTAAACAACAAAAAAAAGGTCTGATAGATGGGAGGAGGAGACATCTAAGCAGCATGGCCAGAGCAAGGTGCAGATGTGATCTGACCAGTTGATGTTGAGGTGTTGAGGTTTAACCCCCGCCAGCAACTGGGGTCAGCTGTCCCAGCTGGGGCCCCTCCCAACTCCTTGTGCACCCCCAGCCTCCTTGCGGGTGAGGTGGGGTGATAGGCAGAAAAGGCCTTGACTCTGTGCAAGCCCTGCTTGGCAATAACTAAAACATCCCCAAGTTATCAACACCGTTCTCAGCACAAATCCAAAACATAACCTCATACTAGGTACTGTGAAGAAAATTAACTCTATCCCAACCGAAATCAGCACACATGCTTACTATCTGTGATACAGTTTAACTTCTAGGAAACAGTAAGAATCCAAATTCTCTTCCCTTTAAACGAAATTTTGTGGCCTTTTTCTTTCCAGTTCTGTTCCTCCAAGTGAGACATTGGCAGACTTTTTGTCTGACACTTTCCTGAAAGATCATGGAGAAGCACTTGTCTTTTGATTAAACAGAGCAGCATGGCAGTGCTTGCCACATTAATGTAACAGAGCAGTTTTTGTAACCACAGTTCTACTTTTTCTGTTTGCCATTTGAGATGTTTGATGTCCAGCTACAAAGCCCATTAGAGTTTGGATCATGCTATTCAGCATTAGGCATCCTCTCTCCCAGCACATCAGCCCTGCAGTTCAAAGCAGCTGAGCTCTGAAACCTGAGCTGTGAGAGAGCAGGGTTCCTCACAGGTCACTGCCCTGTAGGGGCTTCTCTCTGGTGGTCCTTTAGCATTAGAGCAAGCTGAGCTTTCTGGTTCACATCTTCTCTCTTTTGTTTGGAAGTAGCAAATCTAAAGGGTGTATTGGTCCAGCAAGAGATTACAGCTTTCTTGTTGAGTAGCCCTTTTAGACCATGTTGGAGAGATTCTTTTAATTCACAAAACAAATCTATTCCTCAAATAAGGCAATTTAGTAATTTGGTTTTCCAATAGAAAAGAGCATTTTCTAAAGTAGTACATGCAGTGCATCTCCCGCAGGAGTGTAACTTTGAAGGGGGTGCTCCCAGTGTCCCTGTTTACTGTGCACTGGTTGAGTTTGCAGAGTGCCTTTAGATCTCAGGGAAGAGAGGCCTTTTGGAAGAAAAACCACCAAAATCTCCGCTCTGGGCATGCATCAAATGTGTTCCAGGGGGTCTAAACTGGTCTTTCAGACAGTGTGGGTATACTGGGGAAATGGGACAAAGATAACACTCAGCATAAAGGACAAAACTAAATCTATTTTGAAGAATAAATCCCAAGCAGATTCCGAATAGCTTGTATGGTATTGATGTGTGAGCCTCAGTGACAGGTACTTCCATCTGTTGTTCAGCTCCCTGCTGAACCAAATTACCAGCTAATGAAGATATAGCTGTGATGTGACACACTTTGTTCTTCATAGTAGGACTTCATGAATGGACCTTTTGCTTAATGATCAGCTTATATGTCTAAAAAAAGGAAGAGCTTGTCAATTCTCCTCTGTTTTCCTTAAAAAGTGATGACAAAAGATACTATTTCTTTACAGCAAGGTCTGTATTCTTTACTTGGGAGAAAAAGCGATAAGGAACAAGAGTTGCCACTCTTCGTAAGAACAGAGCCTTGAGGCTCCTTTATAAATGATTTTTACCTCACTTTTTAAGTTTGTTCAAAGCATAATTGCAATGAGTTTTTTTTAAAGTAGACTTTTCCAATTTGAAGATTCTCAGACCGTATTTTACTGGTTTGGCAAACTGCTACACAAAACACCTATTTTGTCAAGATTTAAACTGCAAGTGCTGAAGTCAATACAAGAGAAAGTTTGTATCGTAATAATGTCCTGTAGAGTTCAAGGGTAACAACACAGGATTTACTTGCATTTACATTTTGAAAGTCTTAGGCATAACTAAATCTAAGCTAAAATAGTGGTATTACATAGGAGGATTATGAAGATAGAGGTATGAATGAGTAAGTGTGAGTAGTGAAATAGCAGGCAAAAGACAGATCGTTAGAACATAGACACCGGTGTTAAAATTTTTCCCCAAGTCACTCAGCCAACACCTTTAATGCTGAAGTGATGCCAAAAAGTCAGAGCTGCTGTTCTTTATGGAAGTAAAATTACACTTTTACCAGCCCAGCTTGATTTAGGATGTTCTGAACAATGTCTCATAGGACTGAGTCACGAGTGACCCTTCTTTCCACCTGGTGTTTCTCTTGGATATCTTCCATTTAAACACTGTCCTTAACTTAGGCCATGAATTACATGCAATTGTAGTAGAAAGTCATGGTGTAGCTATGGGACATGTATTTTGAATGGGGATGTAGTAGGTTATTACAAACAGTCCACACTTCAGGCCTGGAGCATATTCTGTAGACAACCTGTTATCTCACCTGAAAATTAATTTAACTTAATTCCTTTCTGTAAAATTCATAGCAGCTTTTCAGAAACCTACTCCTGACCAACTTGTTTTTTTTCAAACTGTCAGTCTCACCTTCCACCTTTTAAGTTGGTTAAGTGCCTTCATAGGATGGCAGCCACAGTATTGAGAGAAAAATCAAAGTGTTGTTACTCTGTGAAAAGCTGGATGAACGTGTTTTCCTCTAAACGTAGGGGTATTTCCCTCAGAAAACAGTTGGTCTACTGTAAATATACAGGACAGAAGATGGGAAAGTTTTGGGAGGATGTCACTTTATGGAAGAGGGTTGGAGGTTTTTGTTGTGGGTTTTTTTGTTTGGATTGTTGTTGTGGAGGGTTTTGTGGGTTTTTTTGAGGCAAGAGCAAAAAACAAAACTGCTTTGCTTTTTGAAAGTCTGATCTTTGTAGGATTTTGGTGCTGATTGTATTTCTTTCACCCTAATAATGACCCAGAAACTAAGTTACCATGTAACTTACATGATCTTCCTACCTGGTACCTAACCTAATTCTCTCTCCTTGCGTGCTCTTTGAAGGACAGCAGTTTACTGACGGTCTCTGCAAGATATTGAAACATTGTAGAACAAAAAGGGAATGTTGCACAAGTTGTTTATGAGGAGTTGCTAATTAGTCTTGATAGATTCAAAATTCAGCCAAAAATTGGCTTTCAAGACTGAAGAGATTTCAGGCGGATTAAAGCACTCTTTTGGCAGAATGAAATTGGAAAGAAATCCTTAGGAGTTGGTTATCCTCGAATAAAAAAAATATTCGTACCTTTCTTAACAGTTGATTGTATTGTGTACAATAGCAGATTATTTTTCTCCAACAATAATGAATTGATTTATTACATATTTCTTTAATTCTTTATTTCACAGTAGAATGTAATTATCATCTAACCTGATTTACATAGCTTAGCAATCATACTGCTGAAAGAGAGATGATGACCAGTAAGAACTGTATTCTTTATCATCTCTTTTATTTTAAATTCAGTCACCTGCAGATCGGTGCAAGAAAATCCATGCTGGAGATGAAGTGATTCAAGTTAATCACCAAACTGTGGTATGTATAACTATGTTCTGTGTCAATTGGAGATAGAGGTGTCATGGCACATCAGCATGTGTAGTGAAGAAATGTGTAGAAAAATGTTTTTATAAATCATTATTTATTCTAACATCTAAATTTTCCTTTTCTTTTCTGAAACCACATACTTCTTACGTTCTTAAGTTGAGCCCCGACCCTCTGAGTATCACTGGAGGTATCAAGTTAGCCTAAATAGCTGTGGCTTGGGTGATACATTAGGGTGTTTTCTTCTTACCCATACTCTATTAATAAACAGTTGAGTTTAGTGCAATAGAAGGTTTCGGTCAAAGGGATGCAAGGAGTTGGAAACGTTGTGCCCTTGTGGGTTTAAGATCAAAATTACTTCCTGGAAGCTGCGAAGTTTACTACTTTCCAAACCTACTGGAATGCGTAGAACATGGTTTTCAAGAACAAAAGGACATACAATTTCCATAGTGTTCCTAGGGTGTTTAGCTTAATTTAAATACAGATTTTTAAACTTGGAAAGTTAAGATTAAGCAAAGCTGTCAGATATGATAGGCAAGAAAACTAACGCCCTGCAAATTGCTCTTTGTGTGAATGGATGCATGTTAGTTCCTAGTGATTTTATTTAGGACTGGTGAACTGTTAAAATAAAATTACCTTTTCTAAGGTAAGGCTTGGTAACAGAAAAGAACAGACTGTCAGTACAGAAAGCAACTATTCTTCTTCCAAAGTATAAGGTTTCTTAAGAGTAGTGAAAGTCAATATATGGTATTAATTCCATGTGTCCTTGAAAGCAATTTAACTGACAAAAAAATACCCTAGATCGCCATTATTAATACAGCAGTCATTTGTTAAAAGTGTGTTTTGTCATTCCCCATGGGGTTCCACTCCAAACTTTAGGCCATTGTACATCTTGTCAACTGTTCTGCACAAATTAGTGTAGTATTTCAGTATACGCTCCAGCTAAGTTTGGTATCTAATATACTGTACCTATGTGGAACTTACCTGATGAGAAGATATCTCTTGAGCTATGCAATGTAATTTGATAAATCTAAGCAGATCAATGTGAATTTAAATACTTTTTTTGGCCATATAGATTATTCACAATTATTGTATCCCATGATTACTTACATGTATACTTGATGACCAATTTCTTTATTTTTCTACACTAAGAAAACTTTTGACATCAATTTAATATGAAAAACTTAATATGAAAAAGTTAAAACTTTTTTCTGTATTTTCTTCAGTTATTTCAGTGTATTCTGTTTGTCAAAGTGAAGTTAATATCTGGCTTTCAGTAGTTTGTATTTCAAAGAATGAATATAAATATGGAGAAAAGAAGTTCCACGCAATTATTTTAAAAATCCAACTTTTTTGCTAACACTTTTTACAAGAATCACACTTTAATAATTATGAAAAGGCTGTTCTTTCAGAAAGCCCACTGGCTTTCAAATAGGCAGCATGAAAAAGTAGAAGAATAGTTAAGTGACTTATATTGATTTTTATTATACCTGTTCTAATACTGGGTGGCAAATAGTTTTAAATTCTGTGTTGACAACCTCTGCTTGTAGTGATGCTTAATCTTCATAGTATTTCATTTGGCAGTGAAATCAAAGGATTTCAAGCGATTACCCTGATCTTTCGCTATGTTGATAGAAAACATGCATAACAGGATGTATTCCACTTGTTGCTGGCAGGATATCTGGAATGTAAATATCTTCTGAATTTTTTGAATAAAAAAAATAAGAAGATTAAGGCTAAAGTCAGTGAAAAGTTAATGTTCAGAAAATTGTCCTTTAAATTGTGGTTTATTGAGGTTAGATATCTTCTGTATTAGTTTTTGCTTTACAGAATAGAATTTTTTAAAAATAGCTCTGTAACTAAGAGGCATGATTCTCCCATTAAAATGCAGAGGATTTAGGTACTGTCTTCTATTAAGCTTCCCTGTAAATTCCATCCTTAATCTCCTCTAAAAGCCTGTCTGTCTGAAATATTTCTAATGTAAACGAAAAAAAATGTCATTCAGGCGATTCAGAATTTGCACGGTACTGCAGTACTCATGTTTCCGCCCGTACATAATTCAAGAGTGTATTTTGCCTCAAGGTAGTCCTCCTTTTAACCAACTAAAAGTGCGGGAAATGATATTATTGCTTACATGAATTATTACTGTTCACAGTACTCTTTCTGGTTGCATCAGTGATAAAGCAGCAGAGAAAATACTCCAAGCAGAAAACAGGGAGGTATAGACTCAGGATGGTGTAGGATTCTTGAATGACAGGCTGTTCTTGTGTAATCTGCTGTGCATAGTTTCTTTAATCTGCAGGCATTTTTGGCACATTGCATAAACTTCTAAAACAAGTATGATACGACATGATAGACATGTGGATTCCCAAAATTTGTGTTTGTTGGCTAAAACTCATCAAAATGTATGTAAATAATAGATGGTGGAAAAAACATGTCTAATTTGGCAAAGCAGGCAAACATGGTCTGTTATAGATGTTTCATGTAGAAGCTGGTATGTTTAATGTCTTTAACACCTGTAAGTTACTGTTGAAATTGGATTTTTTTGAATCATGTGGTATGTAGGTAACACCTAGCTTTTCTATGGCATGTTCCTTACTGTGGGAACCTGTGGGCTCTTGTGGGCCAATCCAAGTCCACAGAAGTGAGTTGCTGGAACTCTTTTTATATTTACAGTACAAAAACTTTGAGGAGATTTTGCTAAAATTCCTCTGAAACATGATGGATATATTTACAAAATCACACTGTGCTTTTCTGCAAGGGGGGTAAACAATTAAGAAGGGTGTGATACCTTTCTAGATCCTTACCCTGACTTAATCTTTGCGTTGAAAACGTAAGGAACAGGTTTTTAAGATTCACTGTACAATTAGTGAGAAGAGTTCAACTTCCACATAACCTCTCAGGGTTCGTGGAGAGCTGGCAAATTCCAACTGATAGGAAAAGCTGAACTTGGGAGCATATTAATCTCTGGAGTGTATGCATCCAAAATGGAATTTGCAGTAGATGTCTTCTTATTTTGGGAAAAACAAAACAAAACACTTGTAAGTAAAAAAAAAAAAAAAAAAAAAAAAAAAGAAATTGCAAATATTTCTTTTTATTCAGTTTTTCTGCACTGTTTAGCAGGATCCATTTCGGATCCCAGCTAGGTTTTTAGAACACAGATATTTCATTTAAGACCTTATTAACTTGACTTTGAAGGAAATGGTGTTGCTGAAGAGACTCAGTAGGGAAGTGAGCTGGAAGAGTGTAAGGGAGGAGGCAGCAGTGTCAGTCCAAGATTTTGACATTAGATGTTTGACACTTTATACAATTTCCACTAACAACATCTTTCATTTAAAATAATATTTTAATCTCTTATGATGCTTGACTTGAACAACAGACCAGTGCAGCAAGATCATAAAAGTTCAAAAGAAATATACCTCGTACTCAGCTTCCTTCTGTTGCTGTCATGCGTGTGCTTTTATAGCAGAGGAGATAGCTCTCAAATCATTATTTTAATCCTTTCCAAATCCTTGGGCTTCCTCTGTTTATAATGGTTTGGTAAATGTTATTACGAATATTTAATTTTAAAGAGAGGTGGGATTTGCATCTAAAAGCTTTTTAGGTCTATTCAGAAATATTAATGGAAGTCTTTATGGAAGTAACCTAGATCTCTGTAGGGCTCTGTCCTGAACTCTCTGTAGTTTGTCAGGATATGAGGACTCTACTTTCATTTTGGCAAATGTAGTCTGTCCTCCAAATGCCCTCTCAAAATTTCAGTTTACTTCTTTATTCTTTCTTTACAGTCTCCAGAAGTATTGTGTAATACTGATAAAGTAACTAAATTGTCATGATCCTTTCAAAAGGAAAGATCTTTTCGTGAGTTTGCAATTCCCTTTAACATGGAATTTGTGTTGAAATTAGATGATGTGATTTATGACCTCTTTTCTACATAGATGTGCAAATACACACGCAAATATATTATTTTATATCCTATATGTCAGGGAAGTGTGATATTGCAGAAATGAAATGTGTGAGGGAAGATGATCTTTTGTTTCCTCATGGTGACTGCAAATGTTTTTACATAAGTATAAATGCAAAAGAAGCAACTCAACAAATTTGACAAATGCAGATGAATTATGTTGTGCTTTCCAAGAAATATTCTCCGGGGGGAAAGGTTTCTCAGGTACTCTGAAGGGAAGGTAGGAGTTAGTCTTTTAAGGAGTTAGGAAAGTGCGCACGTGTGTGTATGTAGATAGGTTTCATTTTAGTTTTCTGCAAATAGTTTTCAAATGAAGTAGATATTTGGGAAAATAGAATTAATGGAGGTCATTGGCAGCAGCTCCATGGATAAAGTACCTCTGCTTTGAGAACTGCCCCATTCAGATTTAGAGTTTGAGTGGGCAAGGACTCTCCTGCCATTTCTGCAGCACAAGTGCTGGATGCTCTTGTCCATGGAATCTGTTTTCCATTGATCCCTGGGGCTTGTTCAGAGTTGGCATGTGAAACACCACTTTGATGAGCACAGGCCCATTTTGATGTAAATAGCACGCTGTGTCAGTGTGGGCATCCACTTGCACTTCTAACTCTGGCAGGACAAATCAGCTAACAAACAAGTCATTGTCGCATCTGTGTTAGGTACAGCAGCATAAGCTTGGCCAGGCCCCGCTGCTTCATGTTTCTACCAAACTTTAAATAATTTGCCTTTGTTCAATCCATGTGCAATTTTCACGCTTATCTACACACCTGTGTCACCAGCCAGTGGAATTAGTTCAGCCATGACAGAGCGCCACGCTGTGCTGCCTTTTGGCAGCTACCTGTCTCCTAAACTGTAACAGAGCCTAACTATATGAGCGCTCCTACCTTAATTTAAAGTCAACCCACTTGGCTTAACTGAAAGTGTTAAACCTGGTTGACTGTGCCCCAAAATGGAAAGGAAACACTGGCAGGGTCACTTGTATGTCACAAATGGTTGTGGGAACTGCTCCTTACTGCCTCAGGCTCCGTGGGTGGAA